GGGGATTCTTCCAGGTACACCTTTATATACTCATACTAATTAGTATCACATAAACTTGGAATTCTTTTATTGAGTTGTCGATTTACATAGTAGATTTATAAATCTTGGCCAGAAACAGCTAAGTTACAGCCTGCCTTTTTTTTTTATTCTGATCAATCAGCTTATCATTTCTTTGACCAATCTTTTCAATGTCTTTCAATTTCAAAATCATACTCAGCAAAAAATGTGTGCCATCTATTTAATCTTTTATATTCAGGTGTTAAAGGTAATTTATTAAAAATAAATCTCTTAACTTGTGTACTGTGAATTCTCACCTTAAAATGTTTTGGTAATAAGAAGTTGAACTTTTTTATTCCATTTTTGATAGCTAGTAGTTCTTTATGATTTGAATAATATCTAGTTTCAACATCTTTAAATATACCACTAGCATATCTACAGACTTTTTCTTCAGAATTTTTCAAGGCTGCTTCCCAAAAAAAATCTGAGGTATCATATTTTAGAATTAACTCTTCATTTTCTTTAGGCAACTGTAGCTTAAAAAGGTTTTTGTAATATTCTTTTATTCTTTTCATGTGATTGGTGTGATAAATTTCTCATTGTTGATTTTCCTTTTTTTTTTGAGCAATTTTTGTAAATGATGTCTTAATTGAGCTAAATTTTGAATAAACCGCTCTACATAATTGAGTATTCCTAAACACCTTTGAATTTGTTCTTTAAATTCTAATTTATCTAAGGACATTGAAATCTTTTCATTAATGTGAGGTTGTAACTCTATTCCTATGGAATCTATTGTTAATCCCAAGAATTAAATTTTGGGTTTTCCTATCTCTGCTTTTTTTTTTTCAGAAAGTAATATTCCATGTTTCTTGTATAAATATGCAAATTTCTTAAGATGACATAAATATCTTAAGAATTTCTTCTACTTTAAGTTCTATATCCTTAACTCGAGATATTAAAGTTTTTGAGTCTTTGATAAACTGTATTTCTTCTTTTATTTCTCTTAGATCTCTAGAATTTTTTACTTCGGTTATTTTTTCTTTAATAGAATCAAATTCTAGAGAAAGGGATTTTCCATTTCTCTAATTTTTCTTAGAGTATTTTCATTGATAGTTTTTGTTTCAAGAATCTTATCAATGATTATTATATCTTTGCCACAGATTATGCTTCTACCCAATGTATTAAGTAGATATGTGTTAATTAAATTTATTTGTTCCTTATTCATGTTGATTTTAATAATTCAATAATTTCTCTTAATTTATTAATTCTTTGTTCTCTAAATCTAATAAGTCTATTATACAATTGTATTATTGAGTTTAAACTCTTATTTTCTTGGATTCTTTGTCTTGATTCAATTAAAAGATTTTCTTTAATTTCAGCTACTATTCTTTCTTCAGATTGAACTACTTGCTCAATTTGATTACAAATGTTTATTATAGTTCTTGTATATGAGGTAATATCTCCCATTAAAATTTATTGGGGCCTTACTAATTGCCTCTGTATTTTTTGAGGACTAACTTTGCTATTACTTAGTTTTTCTTTTAACTGAGACTTAACTGAGACTTAACGTCTTCCGTTGGCTTGAGGGTATAAATCCTTAAACTTTTAAATTTAGGGTTATAAATCTTGCACTTATAAGTTTAGGGGTCAACTCCTTCAAAGTTAGTAAGTTAAGGGGTATTTCAAGGACTTATGCCTCAAAGCCTACCATCAATGGCTGTCAATGGTTATACATGGTAGGATGACAAGGAAGATGGAAGTAAAGGAGAGAGAGAAAACATATTTTAGAAATTTAATTTGTTAAGGGTTTTTTTTATCATGTGCTAAAAATTGTAATAAATGTATTTTTTTATAATTATTTTTCATTGAAAGTGTAAATGTTAACTTCGGTTTAATCAATTAACCAATTAAAGTCATTTACGTATCAATTGTGTTAAAATATATATCAACCTTTATAATTTTTAATATAAATTAATTATAAAAAAATACATTTATTACATCCTTAAAGATATAGGTTAGACAAACTCATTTTTTTAAATTCTAAAATTATTACTTACACTAAGTATAAGATTATTAATGAAGTTTTCTTAAATAAATAACTTACACATCATTGAAATTGAAATCTATTAATGAACATGAAAAAGCAAGAAATGAGATGCTTAATTAAGAGCAACTAAAGTTTTGTGCCCTTAATTATTAAATTGAAAAAACTTTGTGCCGTCCTAACCCTCCCCCTTAGTAGTTCCGCCACTCAGACTAATCACGACTCGGTTGCAAATGCGGAGTACAGCTAGCCTACACTCCGCAGAGAAGGAGAGATTTAGAAAAGTAGAGTAATATCTTTGTTAAATACATCATCACTGGTTGAGTAAACTCAATCTTCGATTGTATGGCTCCGACTAATTGAATTAATAGATTTGCACTTTCACCAACAATAGGTAACTTTCCAGCAGAAGTCATGGAAATTGGGCAGTATAAGAAAGGTAGAAAACGGTAATGTTAATGTTATGACTGAGGCATATAATCTTAGGAAGAATTTTTTTTCTTTTTGTCAGCATATATCTTAGGAAGAATTAATTGTGTCCTATATATTTTAACTACTGCAGCTTGTAAACCATGGAGTGAGCTCTTCTTTGTTGGAGAAGGTAAAGAAAGAGATTCAGGATTTCTTCAATCTCCCAATGGAAGAGAAGAAAAAATATTGGCAGTACCCAGGAGAACTAGAAGGATTTGGACAGGCCTTTGTTGTGTCTGA